GTACATGCACCTGTGCTCGGCTGGGCCCTCCCTCTCCCTAGGAGCATGTTCCCTCCTGAGCCATGGCACTCACCGGCTGCGGTGGCTGAGCGGGCAGAGCTCTGCCCTGCAGTGTGGCCAGTCGTGCCTCCATCTCCTGGGTGGAAGGGATGGAACCCGGGGGCTCCCCGCGCAGCGCAGCCAGCCGGGCTTCTATCTCCGCCGGCGAGGGCACTGGCTCTGTAATCGGCACGGGGGGAGCCCTGTAAGAGGCAGAGGAGTCACCATGCCAGGAGGCCTGGCAGCGTCTTTGAGGCCAGCCGTCTCCCTGGGCCCGACTCACTGGGCTTGTTCTCCTGGCGGAGGCGAGCCAGGCGCTCAGCAATGACCTGGTCTTGCTGCGTCAGTCCCGGGGTCCAGGGAGCGCTGGGCTTCTGCTTGCCTTCCAGAGCTGCCACGCGTCTGGCGGGAGGAAGGCCAGAAGTAGGGACGAGGGTGCCTTACTATTTTGTACTCAAACCATTCTGGCCATCTTGCGGGGTGGGGGTGGGGGGCGGGTCTCCAACGGGCAATCTTCTGGGGTCCTGGCTCCCTTGGCCATTGCCCTGTGGTCCATCCCGGCTCAAGCAGAGAGGGCAGGATCTATGAGTGCCGAGCTGGTTTTCTCCGAGCAAGAAGGAGCCTGCGAGAGGGGTGTTCTGACCCTGTGCCTGTCTGACAAAGAATTCTACCCTGATGGCTGCTTTGTTCTTCCCCCAACCCCATTCCTCTTTCTCTTCAGCACTTTGGCGGGAAAGATGGGGCTTTCTACTCCTGTCAACAGTCTCAGAAACTCATAGGGACAGTTGGACGCTGTCCTGTAGGGTCGCTGAGTCAGCACCGACTGGATGGCTGTGCATCCAACACTTACTTCTTGTAGTTCTGAGGCGGTGACCACTTGGAGGAGTTGGCAGAAGTAGACCCTCTAGAGGATAAGAATCTAGTGTCAGATTCTGCCCTCCTGCCAGGCAGTACCCTGTGCTCCCCTGCCTCCCAGCCACCGTGGCTGCATGTTGGCCATGCCTGCCCCTCACCTGGTCAGGACCTCGTGGCACTGCTTGCAGACCTTGTGCTGGGTGTTCCCAGCCCGGGGCACGGCCGCACTGAAGCTGAGACAGCCAGAACAGAAGGCCCGGCCACAGTTCTTACAGCCGCACTACAGGAAACACGAAACAGGGGACACTCTCACCTGGTACTGCGGGCTCCCCCAAGGGGACTCCTCAAGCACACACAGCTAGGGGAGACACTGACATTGTGACCTGTCACTGGGAGGAGGAGGGGGAGGAATGGGGCCCGTGAGGGACAGGGGCTGGTGAAGCAGTTCCTTAGTCTCCAGTCTCTTATTCAAATCACATAATGAATACTTCATGCAAAATTCTCAGTGCTTTCTAGACTAGCTTCAATTCCCGGGCATAGGGGTGTGGTAAGCCAAAAGGTTTCACTGACTCTTCAACAAAGGCAAATCAGAGTGCAGGATACACGCCTTCTTTGCACTGGTGGAGTAGGAGGGTGGCCAGGCTCGGGATGGGGTAACAATAGCCTCTATTTATTAAGTACTTACTGGGTGCCAGGCACTGAGCTCAGTACTAAACATTCATCTGCTTTAGTTCTCACCATTTACACATATCATCCTAATCACCTTTTGATGCCCACCATTTAATGTTCCAATTTTAGACCACAGGACTCTCAAACCAAGGCCTTTCTGTGAACAGGGCACCAGAACTCATGTGGACCCCTGACCACCCTGACTCCAAAACCTAGACTAAGTGCTACTCAGCCTGTGTCCATCCATCCATCCTATCTGGTCCTCATCTCTCAGTCGGACGTCTTGCCCGTAGCTGAGGTACAGGAAGCCTGCTGTTACTAGGGGAGCTTGGCAGGTTCCTGAGGTCGCAGCTAAGGGCAAGAGGAAGGACAGAACTCTAACTCGAGAGACCTGGGAAGGACAGGCTGCAGTGAAGCCGAGTGGGGAGAAGGAAGTAGCTGGTCGACAGAAAATTGAAGCTTTCCAAAACACGAGGGCATCAGGCTTTATAGTTTTATAAGGCACTTTCACATACGATGCAGTGGGAAGCACGCTGGGCCGCTACCCTCAAGGTCAGGAGTTCGAAACTACCAACCGCTCCTCGGGAGAAAGACATCCAGGTGCGGAAACCCAACGGGGCAGTTCTACTCGGCCTGATGGGCTCGCTACGAGTTCGAATCATTCGATGTCAGTGGGTTTGGTTGGTTTGACCTCCAGGTCACATCGGACCCGCACAACTCCGCATGCAAGGTAATTATTAGTTTCATTTTAGGGAAATTGAAACGGGGGCTCAGGGAAATCAAAACCACACAGTTGGAACGGGGCTGGACCGGGCCAGGAATACTAGACTTCGGGCTGCAAATCCTGTGCTTCTCCCTTCACTCTGCGTCCTCCCTGGTCTTCCAGCCCCCGGGGAGAGAAGACTTGCCTCCTTCTTGAAGAGTGTGAACTTGGCCGCGCAGCCGTAGCACCTACTGTCCATCTTGGCTCCCGAGACTGCAGGGTCGGCAGAGTTGCGGTCACGCCCGCCAGACCCACAGCTCCTGGACTCTCACTGAGCACTGTCCGGCCCCAAGCAGCCCACTAGCGCGTTCCAGCGGCGGTCCCCAGGCCGGGAGTAGGGACAGACCACCCTGTTTGAGCGCGGCCGAGGCGGGAGCGGGGACTGCTGGGAGTTGTAGTTCGTTCACGATCGCCCGCCTCCTTTAGCGTCAGCTCGGCCAGATCCAGAACACAATTCCCAGAAGGCTAAGCGCCATCAAGCCGCTCAGAGTCGGCAGTCCCCCGGGAGTCCCGACGCACGCTTGGACTCCTGGGAATTGTAGTACAAACCGACTCAGGGTGGAAAGCATGGCGGTGACCAAGGAGCTCTTACAGATGGACCTGTACGCGCTGCTAGGGATCGAAGAGAAGGCGGCGGACAAAGAGGTGAGAACGGCGTCGAGGAGGGCCGTATCTTGCGCGGTTCCTCCCGTTTTATCATCTCGCCCGCAGCTGGCACTCGCTCTCCTGGTTCGACCGGGCGTTGGGCGGGAGCGAGGGAGGCCTCAGAAGATGTGTTCCCAGATCTTTCCTGGAGGGTCTGAGGGCTCCAAGGGGACGGAGGGGAACAAGCGACTCCTCGCGCCGCGTGACTGCGCTCTCCCTCTGGGTCCCTGGACTGGGAGAGGGCCTGCGGGGAGCCTGCCAGGGAGCCTGGCTACCTCCACGCGCCTGCGCAGTGCCAGTCTAATTCCGCTTCGGTCGTGACGGGCTTGGAGGTGCTTCATTCAGGCTCCTCTGGAAGGTCTCCCTGCAATTCCATAGGGTCTTGGGTGAAAGGGGCAGGTCTGCAGGCACCACCGCTCTCATTTCACCCCTTTTATCGTTGTGACCCGTGACCCGTGACCCTGCCGTCTCTTTTCTTTTTCAGCCCCACCTCATTGACTCTTTTCAGCAGAAGCTCCGGTGGTACTTGTTAACATTTGAGAGTGGGCCAAACAGGAAGAGTCAGAGGACTTAGACAGGCGGCCTGGGGTTCTGCAGAAAAGTCGTAATACAATGCCAGGGCATGGGGCACTGATCAAGCTATACCCTAGATTTCTATGATCCCTCTCAGAATCCTGGTCATAGTTATAGCCACGCTGGAGAGAAGAGTCCAGTAATTCATTGGATGGGAATTAGTGCCCACGAATGTCCATTAGCGGGAGAAAGATGGAGGCAGTTTGCTTCCATAAAGATTTACAGCCTTGAAAACCCTAAGGAACAGTTCCGTCGTATAGGGCTGGTATGTGTTGGCATTCACTTGATGGCAGTGGGCTGGGAATGCCTGTTAGAGGAGCCCTGGTGGCCCAGTGGGTTGGGTTGGACCACTGATGGGAAGATCAGCAACTTTAACCCTCCAGCCGTTCAAGTCTACTTTTGTAGAGTTGTAGCATTGGTAACCCTTGGGAATTCTTCTCTGACATACAGTGTGAGTTGGATGGCAGTGAGCTTGGTGGCAGAAAGAGCTTGTTGCCAAGGCTGAGGCTTTTACAGAAATTGACTGACACATTTTTCTCCCTTGGCTTGCCTGGTGGGTGCAAACCACTGACCTGGCTGCTAAGTGTATAATACTACTTATGTGCTGGGCACTGTGTTGAGTCATTTATTTAACTCACTGCCATCGAGTCGATGATGACTAAATTGGTATCTTATATTAATACTGGGATCTTTCATACCAGGCCCAGCCAGGGTGTTAGAACCCTAAAATTGAGACCTCCTGAGGAAGGCAGTTGGGGGAGTCCTTGATGTATATATTAGTCAGAGACGTAACATGATTGGATTTTTTAAAGGAAATACTCAACGTTAATATGCAGAATGGACAGAGGAATGGGTGTGGAGGAGCTGCCACTAGGCATCAGGTTACTAGGTAACCTGGTAGTTGGGATAGAGAGCTCACTCAGGTGAGACTAGGGGTACATGAGAAGGCTGTAGAAAGGACAACAGTGCTAGCATATATGGGTTGCTTTCGATGTGCCAAGACCCTGGTGGGGCAGTGGACTGAGTTCCGAACTGGTAACGGAAAGGTCAGCCCCACCGGCTGCTCCTTGGGAGGACGATGAGGTTGTCTGCTTCTGTAAAGATGTACAGCCTAGGAACGCTGTGACACAGGGCTACTCGCCCTACAGGGTCACTAGAGGAGGCAGAATGGACTCGGTAGGTTTTTTTTAGGTTTCCCATGTGCAGGTGCTGTGCCTGCCTTTTCATAGAGTAGGCATTGCTCAGGCACAGTTCACTAGAATAAAAGAGAATGTGGGCGGTACCTTCAGAGGGATATAAATAAGCTGTTGGGGATGTTTGAGTCAAGTGAGATGACTTTGAACTTGAGATTAATGGGGGAAATAGAAGAGTCATTTGAGGCCTTGAGACGTCAGAGCTTGCCTCTGTGGAGATGGAGGAAGGGCATTCCAAGACAGGGGGGAAAGAAAGAGAAGATATAGAAACTAGTTTTTCTGCGTGGTTATGGGTCAGTATTGCCCCGATGGCAATAAGTTGTTTTTTTATTTTTAGCATTTTATTGGGAGCTCATACAAATATCACAACATTCCACCGTTCAAACACATCAATCAATATTGGACAATTGCTACCACAGTCAGTTTCAAATAATTTTCTTTGTTCTTGAACTTCCTGATATCAACTCCCTTTTATCCCTTCCCCTCAACCCTTTATTTATTTATTATTTTTGCTGCATCTTACACCATCCAATATATGCATTTATGTACAATTCTGTTGTCCACTCTCCTCTCATGGGGTTATATAGTCATCAGTGCTATCAGCTGCTCCCCTCCTCTTCTTCCTTCCCCTCATTTCCTGTTCCTTCAGGGAACCATTACTCCCATTACTGTTTCTGAAAGGGTTATCGCTCTTGGCTTTCATGAATTGAATGATCTTTTAATTTTTTAAAATTTATTTTTTTCCAATGATCCTAATTATATAAATGAGCATACACATCTAACATGATTAATGAGGTAAAACAAATAAAAACCATAATCGTAAGGGGAGGAAATATTAAAGAACTAGAGGATAGTTATGTGCCTCTTCAGTGCTATACCGCAGCCTGGATTCATCCTCCCTTCCGTGGCCCTTCTGAGAGGGACTGCCGAATTCACTTGCAGGTGGGTTTTGGGTCTCCATTACATCCCCACCCCTTCACATCAATGAGTTTGGTTTTTTTATACATAAAAACGAAAAGGTAAAAGAAGATAAAACTTGAAAAGTTGGGTGGGGTCATGGAACCTATGGCTAGCCCCGTGGTAGTGTACTCTTTGTGGTAGAGAGCAAGTGACCGAGGCCCGGTATGCCTCCCTGTGGGAGCATAGCACCAGTCGTATTGTGGAGGAGATCTGGAGGACCCACACACACTTTGAGTGTACGTCAAGAATGCCTCCTTAACTCTGGTTGTTGGTTCACATAGTCTAGGGTTTCTTAAGAGTTCACAGAACCCTTTCAGGAGCCTAGTGAGCCCCTGGAATTGTGTATATCTATTTTGGGGAAGAGGAGGTAATTTTTATCAAAAACAAAACAAACAAGATTAAGAAGCCCTTATCTAGGCAAACTCATTGTGTGTACTGATGGTGAAACTGAAGCTCAGAAACTCAGGCTGCTAGTGGCAGAATTAGGACTAGAACTGAGATATAGTCAATTAACAAATGACCCTTCTGGCCAGAACTTGGTTCACCCCTCTCCTAAGGTAGAGTCTAACGATGCCCGCAAGGAAAGGATGTGACTTGGTTGACACCTGTACTAAAGCCAGGTGTCAATGTGAAGTATTGAATTCCTATGTGATGTATTCTAATTCTGGACTCTACCTGCAGCTATAATCCTCTTTTGGAAGGTCCTTTCTTCCTTTCTTTTTGGAAGATCCTTTCTACTAATGGACACGATTAGAGTAGGATCAACAACTGACTTTAGTAGACAGTGTGAACCAAGTCCCATCTTTTTCCTTGGGACAGCTTCAGACTCTACTTCAGTAGAGGGTGTAACTTAAGACCCCATTCTTTGTTTTCCTTGGGGGTATCGTGGGCTAAAAGACAAATTACTCCTCCATCAAAGCCACTCCTAAGAGTCATTTGGGACACAGAAATTCAGGACCATTTTGGAAGAGCACATCCAAGATGTCTTTCTGAAGCGGCAAGACCGGAGGCACATAGTCTCAGGGGAGCAGCCCCAGTGCTGTGGATACCTTCTTCTCATCGGGCTTGAGACTATGGGATTGAGACTGAGTGACAGGCAGGCTGGCTTCCCAGCCCACGGAGGCAAAGGCCAAGGAACCACGGAGCTGAGAGACCAGAGAGAGACCTGCTGCCTGAGGAGAGGTGTTGCTGGGGACCAATGACTCTATCCTTACTGTTTGCTGATCCTGACTTGTGGTGACCTATTAACTTCCCCCAATCACCCCCCTGAATTGTGAGTTCTGTGTGACCATTGCAACGAACCCACCAGCATAGAAGTAGAGGGCCGTGGGAGGGGTGGTTGGTGTCCGACTAGCTCAAGAAGGATGGAGTGAGGAGACCCCTGTCTTGGGGCAGTGGGGAAGCCAGAGGAGATCAGATATGTCCACCTCCATACCGTTTACCGCAGAACCCTGATCCCCAGATGCAGGGCCTGGTTGGTGTTCTTTCCGCAGGGCAAGGCTTTCCGGCCTTGCCAACTATCATATAGCTCAGTGGTAGCAAAGGGCTCCCCTTACCCTTTCATTCAGACTCTGTCTCAGAGGCTCTTTCTCAGGGCACGGTGAAAGTGTCCGCAGACTAATTGTTTCCGCGTGTCTATGATGTTCCTCACTCTTCTTTCCTGCGCACAGGGAGAGACCACAGTTGTATCTTAGATGGCTGCTCACAGCTTATTTTAATTTAATTTAATTAATTTATTTTTTTTTTGCTCACAGCTTTTAAGAGCCCAGGCGCTTCCTCACCAGAATAGGATGCAGAATACTGTCTTTGTGGACTATGTTATGCCAATTGACTTTGGGGTCTCCCAAGACTGAGGTCCTGAGCCCCTAGGCCCAGTGAGACCTTCCCTCAAGAGGTTTGGTAATTTCTAACAAGTTCTCATCTTGCGCCCTGTATTTCCCATCCCTTCCATAGACATGTTTGCAGCAAAGGTAAATAGCCGTGCCCAAATAGCCGTTGTCAAACCTGTATTTCTTTGTGGAGATACTCCCACATCCCATCCGCTCAGCCTGCGTGTCTGCCTCTATTCCTAAATCACCGTTATCGCGGGGTTGGATGTGTGACAGTATTGACGTCTGCTGCCTGTGTCTCCGGCGCTCTTCCCAGGGGCTTCCCTCGCCCCCACCCTTTGTGCCTCCTCCTCTCGTCATGTCCATCGCCTTTCCCTTCGCCCAGGCGAACCCCTGTCTACCCCACAGCTGGTCATCGACTCTTCCCCTCCCACCTCTCGTGCCCGCCAAGACTGTTTCCTTTGGTGTGGAAACAGTTTAATTGACGTTTTCACTAGTGGTCTCATGCAGTCTTTGTCCTGTGGTAATTCATTCAGCATATTGCCCTCGAGGCTCATCCCTGGTGTGAGGTATTTCACAGACTCCTCGTAATTCTTTATTGTTGAGTAGTCTGTAAGTAG